AGTAAGATGCTTCTGACGTTGTTTCTGTTTCAGAAGTGGCTTGGTAGCTCTTTTCCTGAAGACGTCTGAGTGTGGTGACCCTTGATGCACTGACTCCAGCTTCAGTCCACTCCTTGTGAAGCTCTCCCAAGTGTTTGAATCGGCTTTGCTTGACAGTATTCTCAAGCTTGCGGTCATCCCTGTTGCTTGTGCACCTTTTCCTACCCAATTTCTTCCTTCCAGTTAACTTTGCATTTAATATGCTTTGATACAGCACTCTGTTAACAGCCACCCCTTTCAGTAATGACCTTCTGTGACTTACCCTCTTTGTGGAGGGTGTCAATGATTGTCTTCTGGACCATTGCCAAGTCAGCAGTCTTCCCCATTATTGAGGTTTCAAAGAACAAGAGAAACCGGGAATTTATACTGTATGGATGGTCATTTAATGAAACTCAAATTTAAATATTCTAATATTTTGAGATACTGGATTTTTGACTTTCATGAGTTGTAAGCTCGAATCATCAAAATTAATAAAAAATTTTTTTACAGTATTCTAATTTTTTGAGATGCACCTGTATATAGTCACACTAACACTTCATTGCTGCCTTTCTCTAGGATTGGGCGATATTCATGGGTGAATATTTACAAAATAATTATGCTGGTTTGAAAACATAAAATTGAGCAAAATTTTGAATATTGTCATAATTTCAATTCTCTTTTAAATTTGGCAATTAAGATTCCTAAAAAGCATTGCATTTTGCAAGTATGAAAGCATTTTAGACAAGCCCAGTATGTTTTATGCCTTTGAAAGAAGTCTCTAATGCTCACCAAGGCCCCATTTATTTGATTAATATACAATAAAACTGTAATATTGTGAAATATTTGTACAATTTAAAATAGCTGTTTTATATTTGAATGTATTTTAAAATATTATTTATTCCTGTGATGCAAAGCTGAATTTTCAGCATCATTACTCCAGTCTTCAGTGTTACATGGTTCATCAGAAATGTTGAACAGTTGTACTGCTTTTTTTTTTTCTTCTTCTTTTTTGTGGAAACCATGGTCCATATATATATATATATATATATATACGATATATATTTATATTTAAAACATGACCTCAAACTTTTGAATGATGCATTTTAATAATATCTTTAAGTGGCAAAAACGTGCTGGAGATGTTTTGTTAATTTATCAAATGATTGTTCCTCTTATTGGGGGAAAAGTAATTTCAGAGTGAGTGCATAAACATATATATTTTTCTTTTTAATGGTATAAAAAGACTGAAAAATATCTGCATTGTTGAATATTTTAGCTGTATCTTTCAGTCCTACCTTTCACTCACTGCTGAGAATTTCTAAGTCATATGACTGCGAGGCCATATGATGTCATGATGTCATGTAGATAAACATTACCTCTCCTCTGATTTATTGTAAACTAAACCTGTCCAATAACTTTGTGTGAGTTTATCCAGCAGACAATGATTCCAAGGATTCAGTACTGGCTTCATCCTTAGCTTTCGGTTAGTTACAAGCAAGTTTAAATGGAATTGGAGGTTCCAACGAAAGTTTTGTAATTAAAGATCAGCAAATGTTTGTTTTGTTATTTTGGTTAATTTGATTTTGCTTTCAGCTATGAAAACTATATATAGTATACTAGTATACTTTTAGTTCCATTTAACACATTTTGAGACAAATCCATTCTGCAGAATTTTCCAGGGAATCTGCACAAAATACGGAAAATGTCTGCAGATTCCATCTGGGCTTAGCTACAAGTGTCTGAATAAACATATAGATCAATCTTTTCCCTTTTATAACCAATAATCCACTGAACCGTGAATCCTCAGGTATCCCAAGACAGTCTCGCCACATTCTGTGCATTGCAACTCAATACAGTCATGTATTTTTTCATTCAGAAATATTCTCAACCTGTAGAGATGAATTCTTTCACCTGTTACTCAGGATTTCTGGTGACTTCACACTGGCAGTGTTCTTTTTACACAGCAGCAGTAAAAATACGTCACCCCACTCTGTTCAACCAGAACTGGACAAGAATCAGGCTTCATTAGTTGGTTCTTCATCCGAATAAAATGGCCACTGAAGTCAGAGTTGAGCGTGTCTGCGTTCTGACCTCTGTGTGTCCAGTTTCCTTTCATTACTTCAACAAGGCCCCACGGGCCACTCTCACCCCCTGTTGTGGTATTATTAGAGTTATCCCCCCTTCCCGTCTCTGAAATTATACTCCTGTTAATAGTTGGCAGGGGAGCTTGATGGACCGCCACTACCCCTACTGAAAGCTGCAAACAGCGTACTGCCAACATCCAGACAGCCACTGTTCCCTGCGGTCTACCAAAGGCATCTATCACAGAGACTCATAAAATGAGAAGAATGAAGGGTGAAAGTGTTTAAGGGTTTACAGAAGAGCCATTGAAGAACACGTCAGTGCATATACATGCATTTGGGGGGGGTTAAGATCTACCGTTTGTCTGCAAACCCTTCTTGAATTACACTCTTAAGTGGAGTATATCATTTAGCGATAGCAGCACTTCTTTTGTGTTCTGCTCCGTTGCTCCAGTAACTAAATTTAGGGTGATCTAAGGTGGCGTGCACCACGGCTTGGTACTCAGCCCTATCTTATAGAGAGCCCAGTCCACTTTGCTGTGGAATTCATGGCTGGATGCTTGCCTCTGTGATTTGGGTGGGCGGATTATGTGGGTTGGATGTAGTTGTGGAGTCTCACGCCACATCTTATCCCTGCTTTGATAAAAGTGGAGAAGACACACTGAGGAAGGAACCTCCACTCAGACCTGTCGTCTTCCTGAACTCTAATCCTGAGATTAGAATCCGCTCACTGATATACACGCTCTCAGGCTGATGATACACAGGGCAACTATTTGAGCAATGTTGCCGTCAATGGGCAACCAGGTGAGACACAGGGCCCACGACCGATCTAAAATATTCAGATAGAAATTTGTTACACATTCTCAATGGGAAAGTGCCCAAGCAACATTGCTCAAAAAAAAGTTGCCCGGCAAAATTGCTCAAAAAGTTGCTCAGTGTATCATCAGCCTCATAGATGCACCCACATATAATCACAGGCCCAAAACATACATTAAATTGGCATTTGTTCATTTATCTACATGCACCAACAATTTGTTTTCAATATTTTACTGTAACATGTTTTGCATCACTCAGAATTTCATTTCACACTCCAGTCCTTAAAGGGATAGTTCACCCAATAATGAAAATTCTGTCATTAATTACTCACTCCCATGTCGTTCCAAACCCGTAAGACCTTCATCCATTTTTGGAACACAAATTAAGATATTTTTAATGAAATCCAAGAGCTTTCTGACCCTGCTTAGACAGTAATGCAACTACCATGTTCAAGGCCCAGAAAGGTAGTAAGGACGTAGTTAAAATAGTGGCGTTGTGGTACTTTTGTGAACGGGCATCGAAGACTGACATGGAAGAGAAGAAATTGTTGAATAAATCTTTATTTTTGCTTTCTTTATGCACAAAAATTATTCTCGTAGCTTCATAAAATTAAGGTTTAACCACTGATGTCACATGGACTATTTCAACAATGTCCTTACTACCTTTCTGGGCCTTGAATGTGGTAGTTGCGTTGCTGTCTATGGAGGGTCAGAGAGCTCTCAGATTTAATAAAAAATATCTTAATTTGTGTTCTGAAGATGAACGAAGGTCTTACGGGTTTGGAACGGCAATAGGGTGAGTAATTAATGACAGCATTTTTATTTTTGGGTGAACTATCCCTTTAAGCACATTAATGACAATACGTCTAATTACGAAAGCTTAATTTCATGTGTTTTTTGCATTTCGAAATTTCAGAGTACACGAACATGAGTTGCATTCTCAGTGTTGCCACAAGGGGTGCTATAGTGAGCATTAGCGTAAGTCTTCTTCTTCTATTGTCATTTTTTTCTACACTATAAAAATTATTCTGTATTTTTTTGTGATTTTGTGAGAATACTGTTAAATTAAATTAGATCATTTTGAATTTAATAAAACATGAAATGTAGTAAAGTTATTTATATTTGTTTGTTTTTATATTATTCACTTTTTATTTTATTTATTGTTTTTTTATTAGATTTGAGTTAGAATTTATTTATATATTTGTTACATTTGAGTTATCATTTTAAAAATATCTGGAATAAATATTTTAAAATGTGTGTATATATATATATATATATATATATATATATATGAAATGAAACGACTAATCAAATTCAATGTAATGCGAATACGTTAACACTTATACTCGTGCACGTCCAGTCACTAATTCTCATCACCTGTTTTCTCAATCATATGAGGTGTTCTGACATCAGAATATTCCCTGAATGACACCCCTACATTAGTCCAAACATGACATGTTTGGGGTTTATGGGGAATTACAGATCTCATAAACTTTAATCCCTTAAGCCTGGAAAGTGTTTGGACAGTGGGCGGCGTGAGGTGTGCATTGACACCCACTCCGGACGAGCGCATTTCCACAATACTTAAATACTTTTACAGATCACTAGTGTTTCATGTGTGTTTTAGTTGCATTTAATGACATAACAGAATCATGTTCATCTCTCTCCTCGGGTTTATTGCATTGGTGATAAAGAACATGTCGTGCTTTTATTCCTGAATCCAATTACACACAGATCACGTAAGCTATGAATTTCAGCAATATTTTCCCAAAGAGTAATTTTCCTCTCGCCAGAAATATGGAAAAATCATTCTGTGGTTCATTAGGAGACTTTGCCACATCTATTTTTATGATCACGTTTATTCTAAGTGCGGTTGACTCCTAAATATCAAAGTCTTTTGGTCCATGTTAATGCTATATTTATCAATATAACCCCGTATTATTGTAAAATCTATTTTGTTTTCATTGTTATTATAGCTATTATAGTACTTGGGTTTATTGTTACAGAAAGGATTAAAGCCAGTGTTTCAAGTTTAACAGTCTTCACTTTTCACTTTTCCCACACAGCAATATGGGTAGATAGAAATATAGAAATAGTGAAGCATATCAAACATATATAATTGAATAACTTTATCTAAAATCACATTTTTTTTGGATCTCTTCACATGTGCTCCGATTCATAATGTGATTTTTTTTCTGTGTGTTTTTTGTGTTCAGGTTCATCCCGGGTCCGTGGTCATCCTGCAGTGTGTCTTGTGGTCTGGGCGTTCAAAGGCGTCAGGTGAAATGTAAAGTGCTGCTGTCTTTCACTCAAGCTGAAGTCGAACTACCTGATGAAGAGTGTGACGAGGACAAGCCTCCCTTACAAAGGACCTGTGATTTAGGTCCCTGTTTAACATCTCCAGACTCATCCTGGAGGCCCCTGAGGGCCCATGAGATCCCTGATCAGCACGGCTATGTTTGGGAAAACATGGGCTTCACTCCCTGCTCTGCTTCATGTGCTGTTGGTGAGTCTCCATGAAACCCATTAGAGAAAACAACTGCTCTAATGCATTTACTGCCCAAATATCTTTTATCAGTTTTCTACAGCAAAATAACTGATTTAGATTTGTACATGTACAGCTTTCCAGATTAAATGAAATTGGCATGAAATCTAAAATTGCTAAGAGAGCTGATAGTGATCAGCCTGGGCTACAAAATACATATTGAAATATTCCTCTGCCAAAAGCCTTGTTCCTCACAGTGTTGTTTTGCAGGCAAACAGATGGCTGTTGTCAGGTGTGTGAGCACCTTGAAAAAGGAAATTGTTGATGACACACTCTGCAACGTCTCCAAAGCGCTGCTCTCCTTGCTTCGCATCTGTAACCCTCAGCCATGTCCTCCGAGGTACGGTCCAAATGACACTGCAAGAAATCACTATTGAAAAAATGGATTTGTTACTTAAACAAATTGCACTATTTCAGGATAACAATAAGCTAATTGTTTTATAGGCCAATTTCTCCCTTTATGAGAAAGTACTGTGGTGTGTGCATTTTTTTTTGCTAGTATCTTTTATTCATGCATAAATTAAAGAATCAGTTTTTAAAATGTATGTATATTATGTATACACACACATACTGTCGCTTTTGATTAATTTAATGCATCCTTACTGAAAAATATTCATTAAAAATAATAATGCTTTGTGAATAATCATAATGATGAAAAGAACGAAATAATATTCCTTCATCATCTTTGTTGAGTCACTAGTTACATGTGTTGCTTAAATTAATAGTTTGCCAAAAAATAACATCCTGTCATTATTTATTTATCATTGCATCTAAGCTTTTTTTTTTAATATAAGGACTATTTCACAATTACTGTGAATGTCTAAAAAGCACATAAAACATTTTGTTTTTAATGTCATACAATCACTTTGTGTGAAGAACAGTCTGAAAATAAAGACTTTATTTACTCATAATCTTACCCAAATTCTGTGATTAGTTGGTGCTGTAGCCAGATATTAGTGTGTGATATTGTGATCTCTAGATGTGGCTCAGTTAAGTCTATGGCATTTTCTCAACAGCTTACATTTACATTTACATTTAGTCATTTTGCAGACACTTTTATCCAAAGTGACTTACAATTGGGGAATACATAAAGCGATTCATCTTAAAGAGTGAAACAGACACAGGAAGTGCTAGTAATACCAGGTTTCAGGCATTGTTCCAAATAAGTACAAGCTAGAAAGGAAAGGAATAAATAAAGAGAAAGACAAAGTTTTTTTTTTTTTAAGTTTAAATCAAATAGTGTTGAAAGAGATGAGTTTTCAGCTGTTGCTTGAAGATTGTCAGGGAATCAGCATTCCGGATTGGGGTGGGAAGATCATTCCACCAGCCAGGAGAAAGTGATTTTGTGCCTCTCTGTGATGGAACCACGAGGCATCGCTCACTAGCGGATCTCAGACTTCTGGAGGGGATGTAGATTCGTAGTAGTAAGTGGAAGTAGGCGGGTGCAGAGCCTGTGGTTCTTTTCTATATGCAAGCATCAATGTTTAGAGGAGGGGTCCAAGAACTGATCCCTGTGGAACCCCAGTGACCAGCTGATGTGCTTTGGATACCTCCCCTCCCCAGGCCACACTAAACGACATACCAGTGAGATAGGATTCAAACCAGCGAAGTGGAATCCTGTGATGCCCAGTGATGAGAGGGTGGACAGGAGGATCTGATGATTGACAGTGTCAAAAGCAGAAGATAGATCTAGCAGAATAAGAACTGATGATTTAGAATCAGCTTTTGCCATCCGCAAGGCTTCAGTGACTGACAGTAGCGCAGTCTCAGTTGAATGGCCACTCCTGAAACCTGACTGGTTAGCATCCAGTTCGTTGTTTTGTGAAAGAAACAATGATACCTGGTTGAAAACAACTCGTTTGAGGCTTTTCGCTATAAATGGAAGGAGAGAAACAGGTCTTTAGCTATCTATAAGTCAAGCGTTTAATGTAGGTTTTTTGAGCAGTAGGATTACCTGAGCCTGCTTGAATACAGTGGGGAAGGTGCCTGTGAGGAGAGATGTGTTGATGATGTGTGTGAGTGCTGGGAAGAGTGTAGGAGAGATTGCTTGGAGAAGGTGTGAGGGGATTGGATCTAGAGGGCATGTTGTAGGGTGGCTGGAGAGTAGAAGTTTTGATACTTCTGCCTCAGTGATGGGACAGAAGGAGAAGATGGGCATTTTAGCAGTGGGTGTGGTTGGTTTGAGGTCCTGTGTGTGTGGGGCTGAGAATTGACTGCTGATTGTTCTAGTTTTGTCTGTGAAGAATGTGGCGAAATCATCAACTGTTATAGAAGTGGTGGGTGGTGGTGGAGGGTGGGACAGAGGAGAGAATTTAATGTTTTGAAGAGATTACGTGTGTCTGGAGTGCTGTTGATCCTGTTGAGCTTATCGTCCACCAGGCAAAAATCTGTTCACAAGACTGACAGGTTTAAGTCTGTTAATTTAAAATGTAATAGCACAACCCTATTTAACCATAAATATGCACAATAATAATAATAATAATAATAATACAGTGATGCTTGCCCTAGCAGAAGCCACTAATTAATTCTTCCAACACCGAATGTGTTTGTCATGGAAAGACATTGCGTGCAAAGCAAGGAAAAAACTACATTATAATTCATCCAGCTCCTTAACAAGTAGCTAAAATTGAACCGCTGGCCTAGATTATGTTCAAAGATCAAATGCAGATTTAATCTTAGCAGGCTGTCAGGCCACTCTGAAAATAAGGACATGTGATGAAAATAATGTGATTTCCTGTTAACTGACCATTTGCCAACAAAAGCAGGACAGCTGGCTTTTTAGTGCGGTGCAATATGGAATAAATGGTTTTACTGGAGCTGATATTTTTCATGTGGCTTTTTATGTACTGTGGCTCAGAATATTACAAAAGTTCATACGCTTATGGACAAAAGCTTGATTGTTATCTTCATCATATGGGCAGGATTGTTTGAATTCGAAATGCCTGGTGTTTAAGACCAATGATCGCCTTCATATGGATCTTTCCCATCATGATTTTCTAGGAATGCCAGGGATCATAAAGTTCAAAGACTATGGCAGTGTCACTTTATGTTTTGCATTACTATACAATATACATATAATAATATTCTGTTAAATCATAAACATATAGTAGATTATTGTGGTAAGGATTATTGTTGACATTTTGTATTCTAAATGATTTACATTCTTAATTCATGTTCCTGGTCTTATTGTGCATGACTTCTCATTGCTTGTTATTCAAAAGAAAATATTTGTCTTTACAATCGATTATTTTTATATTAATCTAATAAATCAAGTGATACATTGCCCTGCATCTGAAGCAACTTTTCTTTTTGGCTGATGTCACCTAGACTGCTCGGACTGTTGGTTAATGTTTACTGCAGTGTTGTTAATGTTAACCAAAACTAAAACTAAATATATATAAACATTTCTGTAATTGAAATAAAGCTTAAATAAAATGAAATATAAATATTTAATAAAAACGTCAAGAAATATTAAAAAATTATGAAAGCAGATAAAAAACATCAAATTAAAATTTAATTAATTATTTAAATTTAATTAAAAACTGAAACTGAAATTATTAAATAATTTCAAATAAATGATTAAATATTAATTATAAATTAACTAAATAATAAACAAATAAATTATTAAATATTATTAAATTAAGCACATAACAAAAACACAAATTAAAATTAAATATTTAAATTAAATTAAAAACTGAAAATATTACAATTAAATAGTATTAATATATACTTAAATATAATATATAAATGATACTTAAATATCAGTCATCAACCACTTGCCAAATAGCTATTTTCAGGCTGTTATAAGTAGTGCGTTTTGGTCAACGAAAATGAAGAGACATTTTAGCATAGTTTTTATTTTGTAAACCACATTTAGTCTCGTTTTTATTCGTCAACAATATTGCATTATACATTTAATTATAGTCATCGTCACATGACCAGCATTTACGTTGCGTCTCGTCTCGTTTTCGTCACGTGATAAAGGTTCGTTGACGACGATATTTAGTATATAGTATATTTAGTATATTTAGCAACACTAGTTATAAGTAAATAGAGCTGGACCTCAATCCACTCCAAACCTACATTCAGTTCTGACTTCATTGTCATCTACTTTTCATGATCCAATTTATTCCCACTGGAAAAAAGGTTCATCTTTCCCTATTTTCACTGAATATCCTGTATGTCACATTAATTTGAAATGGTTTGTGTGTTGGTGTGATTTCTTCAGATGGGAGGTGAGCGTGTGGAACCCGTGTTCTGTGTCGTGTGGTGTGGGGCTGCAGACGCGCAGTGTGTCCTGTGTGAGGTCTGTGGTGGGAAACTGCACTGAATCTGTGTCCAGCATAGAGTGTGTGGAGAGAAGACCTCCAGAACTGCAGGCCTGCAACCAGGTGGCCTGTCCACCGGCCTGGGAGGCTGAGGAGTGGCAGCAGGTTAGTGAGCCCCGGATTTCAGAGAAACATGACAAAAGTCAAAATAGAAATGAAATTTATCTCCTTGTAAAAACTATAAGCTGGTGCATGGGAATAAATTAGGACAAAATAAGATGAATCCCACACACTGCTGTAGCATGCAACATTTCATGCCACATTCGTCAGGCTTGAAAACACGTCAGAAACGTTGCATTAAAATTTGTGCTGCACAATATTGGGAAAAATTTACATTGCAAATGTTTTCCTGCTATATATATTGCGATGTGAAAAAAATACAGGAATTTTCACTAGATGACTTGAATAGGTATAATTGGAAAGAATGAATCATTCTAGAATTAGTGGGCTTATTTTATTGGTGATTGGGGGAGCTGAAAAAAAAAGCAGATTTTTAGTCTAAAGATGTATTTATTTATTTATTTTTGGGCTGGGCAAGTTAACGCGTTATTATCGCGTTAACGCGTTAATTAACGCCAACAATTATTTTATCGCGCATTAATGCAGTTTATTATTATTATTATGAAAGCCCATTGCTCACTGGATCTGAATTCACATACAGACAAACCATGGGTCACAGGAGGGGTGGGATGTTGATCAGTACTGGCTTGGGATGGGTGTCATCACGTGTCTCAACCAATGAGAGCATTTGGGGTGGGCCTAAGACTGCAGCAGCGCTCACATGAATGCTCCCGGTAAAATTATTTATGCATCAACATTCACAAACCACTGTTCACTGTTATTTTTAACAGAAAAGAATGCAACGTGCTCGTAATCACGACTTCACAAGAGGGAAATAGGAAGTGTCAGTCTCAGCACAGTGGAGTGCATCGTTTTGTTAACTTTGTGGTTTATTATTTTGAGTCGTTTGGGACGCGGTGACACACGGCCCTCTCACAGTATATATACGCAATCGTGCTGCACGTAGCAGAAGTTCCATGCTCCGGCGCAGTTGGGCATCACACTACATACGTACCGCGCCCGAGCCCAACTGAACCGTGCTCTCTGGCCCAGTACGTCTTCCAACCGAGCCCGGGACGACTAAACGGCACGGTTAAGATTGCCTAGTGTGAGTACACCCTTATTCTCCCCCATTCCACCCGCACCTGCACTCGCCCATCAAGTGTTTTCCCGCGCCACACTCTGCTGCGTTGGGTTCCGCGATCGGGCAGGTCTCTACTTGGAAGGTGCCTGTTATAATGTTATGATCAAGGCTCTGGACTCTGAGCAGTTCATATAGCAGTACTTTTAAATGAAAAAAGTGCACAATACACTACTTTTGAATTTTGTGCATAACAATGTGATTAATCGTGATTAATCGCAGAAAATCATGCAATTAATCGTGATTTTAAAATGTAATCGTTGCCCATTATTTATTTATTTATTTATTTATTTCGGAATCCTTTTAAGACTGAACAAAATGTCTTTCTATTTGAGTTTTCATAGGCCACATTCCCCCTGTTTTTTCTGTCTGTCTGTCTGTCTGTCTGTCTGTCTGTCTGTCTATCTATCTATCCCAATCTGTTTCTTTAAATCTCTTATGCTCACCAAAAAAATGTACAGTAAAAAATTAATTCATTAAAAAATATATTGTAAAATATTATTACAAGTTAAAACGACTTTTAAATGTAATTTATTCCTGTGATGCAAAGCTGAATTTTCATGATCCTTCAGAAATAATTCTAATATGCTAATTTGGCACACAATAAATATTCATTATTGTTATCAATGTTGCTATCTATCTATCTATCTATCTATCTATCTATCTATCTATCTATAGCATGTATTAAGTTCATTAAGCCATATTGCAATATCGATTTTATTTAAATATTTATGCAGCCCTAATTAAAATATGATTTGCAAGCTATAGCAGTGTGCGGGATTCATCTATTTTTGTTAGATGAAAATGACAAAGAAACCACTTTAAAATCTCAATAATTTTTCCTAGACAGCAAGGAGAGACTTTTGCATACATTTTCTTATTTAATAAAAACAGCAGAAGGCACCAGAGATTCACATAAACATATTAAAGGACATGTTATTCTCATTGAGCATGTGTTTTTGAGAATATTTTATGGAACATGATGTGGAATTATTTTTATAGCTGATCTTGAACTTGCTTTTTATTTATCTGGATAAACAACATCTGCACATCAAGTGTCGTGTGGTTGCATTTGCTTGCATGCTGCGCTCTCTCTGGTTATGTGGTGAGGGTTGGTTTGTTGGTGTTGATGTTGGTGTTGGTGTTTGTTTGGTCTCTGGGTCAGTGCTCTCATTCGTGTGGCAGAGGCACTCAGTGGCGTAAGGTTTACTGTAAACAGAGACTGGCTTCTGGAAGCTATCGCAGGCTGAGCGACGAGGAGTGCGCTGGAACCAAACCTGACGCCCACAGGATTTGCATCAACCCTGACTGTCTGCTGCCGCGTCTGGAAGGAGGAGAGTGGTCAAAGGTGTGTTTGTGTTGCTAACCAAGATAAACTTTGGGAATATGTTCCGTATAAAATGTATAACCTATTTGGGGACACCCTTGAAGAGACAAATACTTTATAAATAATATTTCTGCACAAGAATGGGTTAAGGCTGGAATACACTACACAATTTTTGGCCAGATTTTGGCACCGATTTGCAGTCTGGAGAAAATGACGCTAGTTGCTGAAAATCAGAGCCAGTCTGCAGATTTGAGTTGACAAATTTCATAGGAAATCACATAGTGTATGATGGTCACAGACTCTGATTTTTTTTAGCTTGAGACTATGATTCCATCCAGTTGGAGGATATCAGACATTGTTTGATGTTTTGAGCCGATTTTAAAACACATATTGTTTGCATTTTTCATGTGTCTTAGTCAGTAATTTAGTGTATGATGCCCAGTTTTCCCACTGTAACTATTTACAAAGACAGATTTTAAAAGTTGTGTAATGTATTCTAGCCTTTAGTCTGTAGAAATTACACTACCATTCAAAAGTTTGGGGTTAGTATTTTATTTATTTATTTATGGTACAATGTTTGTGTAAATGATGTGTATTATTTCAATGATATACTGGACACTATCTTTCAAAAGTTTGGGGTCAGTATTGTAGTTATTTATTTATTAGTATTTTTTGTACAATTGGGAAACATTTGAATTATTTATATGTATTATTTCAACTATATACACTTTCAAAAGTTTGGGGTCAGTATTGTATTTATTTACTATTTATTAATTTTTTGGCACAACTGGGAAGCATTTTAATTATTTATATGCATTATTACAATTATATAAACTATCGTTCAAAAGTCTGGGGTTGGTTTTATATATATATATATATATATATATATATGAAATTAATACTTCTGTTGAACAAGGATGCATTAAAAGACTGAAGATTGGAGTAATGATGCTGAAAATTCTGCTGGAATAAATATTGAAAAAATTTGCAGGAATAAATTACATTTTACAACATATATTTAAATTGCAATAATATTTCATAACTAGCTTTTATTTAAAAATTTTTTTTTTTTTAATCAAATAATTCCAACTTTGGTGAGCATATGAGACTTCTTTCAAAAACATAATTTTTTTTTTTTTTAATTGTACCTCGTCACTCAAAAATATAGGTAGAAAGGTAAATATATATCTAAAGTTAATATTGTTCCAACCAGATCTTTCTGTTTCTTTCTCGCAAGAAACACAAAAGTAGGTTTTAGGTAGGCCTATTCTAAAATTTTGAAGATGTTAATGCTTGTTCAGTTACTTTCAGAATGATTTTCTTCAGCTGATGAATGATAAAAACATTAACAGCCAATCAGAATCAACCAAATTTTAACGAGCTCAAGCACTTAAAGTGGCAGATGACAAAACTGCAGCACACACTTATAATAAACAGAAACTTATTGTGCACTGGTGTGAACACAGATATAGTTATCATTGTAGTTATGGCCATTGGTGTAAATGGGCCTTTATATTTTCCATTTTGTGTGAACTATTTTCTTTAATAGAGTTTATTTAATGTATGTATTTGTCCATATGTGTTTGCAGTGTTCTGTGACGTGTGGAAAAGGCATTCAGCGGAGGGAACCCGTGTGTAGGAGACAGACGGCCTCCGGTCAGCTGGTCACTCTGGACAGGTCGGCCTGCAGTGACCTTCCTCTTCCTCCTCTGATCAGGAGCTGCCGTATGAGCCCATGCAACAGTAAGATACTCTATGCTTGCCTTTCCATTTTTTTTCTAGCCATCCTTTACTTGCCACGTCAGTTTAAGCCTGAATCTTTCAGTGTGAAGCGTTCGATTTCTTGCACATTTCGTGTAAATTATGGTTGTAATTTAACTTAGAACTGACCTCTATTTGATCTTGCTCTCACTATGGTGTCCATACATTCTGATAGCAGCACAAGGGAAATTTCATAAAAGAATTTCGGGACTCCCTGATGTTTTGAGCTGTAGTAACAGCACAATCCTACTTGGGTTTCATCTCAAGTTTCTCAAATAAAAAGCAGGGTTCTGTAGGTATCACTTAGCATGTTATTATTATTCTCATGATACCCATGAACCAATGAACTCTCTGTGGTCATATATGTGAACATATGAAACTTCCAGAACCGCTTTGAGATGCTTTCATGCTTTCTTGAGATGCCTTGATAATGTTTTGAGCTGAATTAGGTTTATTGGTTTGTATATATTGATAAGGTCCTGCGGTATGAAGGGACGGTCCCATAGCAGATCAGTCTGCAAGCGGAGAACGCATTCACATTGTGCCCTCATGGTTTTTGCTCTTTCACCTAAACTTTCCAAAGCCCTTTTGTCCCGTGTGATTTGACTTCATTGGGCTCGAAATCAAGAGTCTGAACTGCTGAGATTATTTGGGGGTTTCTAGAGCGTTCATAACCTCACGCGAAACTAAAGTAATTAGCCCTAACCGATGTTTGAACCGCTTCAGCTTCTCCCATCTCTCTCCGCAGAGCACAAGCACTCCAAAAAACGTTGCCCTCAGGTCAAGGGCCTGAAACGCATCTACATCCAGACCAGACAAGAAAAACGCCTCAGTTTTACCATCGGAGGACGAGCCTACCTTCTTCCCAAGACCTCCGTCGTTATCAAGTGTCCCGTTCGGCATTTCCCTAAAGCTCAGGTCCGCTGGGAGAAGGATGGGAGTGATCTGACCAGCTCCAAACGTCTGAGCATCACCAGATCTGGAGCTTTGAGGATCTACAACCTGGAGGCTGAAGATATCGGACTGTACCGCTGCTGTGCCAACCAAGATTCGGACATCTTCATCCTGAAGCTGATCGGATACAATAGTAGGCTCCTGGAACATCCTGAAGGAAAGAGTTTGGGAAGTAGGAGCTTTCATCCATACCTCAATAAAGAAGGAGGTTACGTTGGTTCAAAGTGCCATGAGGGGTTTCCACCTGGAAAGAAGGCTCCAAAATCTCCCCCAAGCTGGATGCAAAAAAACGAGTTCTACCGAGACGACGATGGCCAGCCTAAGGAACTCTGGGATACTCTTGCTTTAGGAAACTACGCTTTGGCTTCAGCCGCCAGGAGCCACGCGGGAGCCTTTGTCCTTGATCCTGCACAGTTCGAGGAGCTCGTGAAGAACATCAGTCAGCTGGCCGAGAGCGGAGATGTGACGGATGAAATGGCGTTGCACCTGATTGGGAAACTTATGGAGGATTTGGCTGCCGCGGGGCAAGGGGCACAAACTGAGGAAAGCACTACGATGGGCAATCATTTAGATAAGACACCAAACACTTCTGAACGTTCTGAGGGAAAGATGCCGAAAAAAGGCAGTCGAGCGGTTATCGTTCGACAAAAGCATCACGGATCTGCCATGAGCTTCCAGAGGGATCTCCGGATCCATGTGGGCAGGACCGCTTACCTAACCAATGCTACCCACAGCCTCACGCTGATGTGTCCCACTCAGGGATTGCCACCTCCAAACCTCTCCTGGAGCAAAGATGGAGCTCCGCTTCAGAACAGCGATAGGTAAAGACAACCAGATGTAGATGAAGGGGTTGGGGTGCCATACGGTGTTGCAGTTTATCTTCCTTTCTTTTTCTTAGGTTACAATTTGTGGGCTTTTTGGTCGTCAGCTTCTTTAAAATCATTTAAATTGCAAGATTAAAAAAAAGTTAATTGAAAACATAAATTCTATCATTGTTTGTTTACTCAACATGTCACTCCCAAACTGCTTTTTTAAAATAGAATACAAAATGATTGTTAATGAATAGGGATGCACAACATACTGTGCTGACATTCTTTCGGTTTATATGTACATTTGCATTTATGCATTTAGCAGATGCTTTTATCCAAAGAGACTTACACTGGGAATTGAACCCATGACCCTTGAACTTTGAATGTTTAAGTTACTGGAATCAGCCATTGTTTGTAAAATGTTTTATTGTAACTGCCAATATATTAAGTAGTATAAATTTGTAATATTGGCCATTTAGGCATAACATGAGTATAATTATTGGTGTTTATATAATTTAGTGTTATTTGTATACTATTATTTATTTATATATATATATATATATATATATACTATTATACATTTATATTTATTATATATTGTATATTTTCCATTTTTTTATTGTCTGATATTTAATTTAAGTTGTAGTAATTTTATGTTCATTTGTAATTTGTTTAACTAAAATATATTTATTTATTAGTCTTAATAAATTATTTATTTCCATTTTTAGTAATTTCAGTACTTCAGGTTTAATTTATTTTTATTTCAGTTAGCTGCCAAGGCCACATTTCCAGCTTTCATTTAAGTTTTCCATCTAAAAAGTAGGGGTTAATTCAGGACAGTTGAACCATTTTCTCCCAGATCTCCCAATGGCAAAAAAGTCAAATTTACCTGAATTCACCAAATATTTTATTTGAGCTTTTTTTAATTAATAACAATTATTTTTAAGTTTTAGTCAAAAATATCATCCTGAATTTCTATATTCATGCATCTCTCTTTTATTTAAGGACAAAATATCACCTTTTGTGCTCTACTGAAATAAAATGATACATTTTAGATTAACTATTCCTTTAAATGTGTCATTTTGTGCCTGCATTATGTGGCTCAAAATATAACTAACGGCATAGGCGTTTTTACTCTAACACACCAGTACAGTGTCTGATTACAAATCTTCTGGAATTCACATGACTTTACTCTTTTTTTCGGTTATTATCAACTGCAGTTCTTTTAGTCAGAGTTCAGCTTTAACACCGAAAAGCCATTTTTTCTCTCTTTATAGAAAACAAGACTCCCTGTGTACCTCTGAGTCCAGCCGTGACTGATCTTGATTGAGCAACCGCATATTCCAAAAGCCTGTTAATCACCAACCCACTCAAATATTCACCTCCAGAGCACCCCAGATCTCACGTTATGCGGTCTGTTGGGGTCAGATATTCTGGCTGTGCTTCTTTCACTTGCTCTCCAGGGTCACATTGTGGTCTAATCGTCGGCTCTATACTGTTGACTGTTAAATACCGTCATTGAAAACATTGACTTAGTAACTCCGCTTTGTCCAGCTCACGGCCTTAACATGGCCTCCGCCCAGACAGTCGCCAAACATTGTCTGCCCCTCTTCCTGGTGTGTGCTATGGGACCTGAAAGAGACATGGCTGTGCAAACATTGTTCAGGCCTCTTCTCGTGGCCTTGGCTTGAAAACCCAGCAGTCCTGAGGGGAATCGTGAAATACTGAAGTGCTTTAACTTTCAGAGGTCACTTTTGGCATGACAGTAGGGTCATGCTACGAAACGGGTGCTTTTTCAGCTTTTTCAGACAAAGTGATTTTGAAGTCAGTTTGAGATTTTAGACATTTTAGGAGATAAATAATGCATGTAAGTGTTAATTGCATTGTGCCATCTCATGCTAACACATTTTAAAATGTGGAGTTACCTTCAGAAAGGTGAAAGGACATTTAGAAAGAGAATATAATCTGAAAATGCATACAAATATCCAACAACTGCAAAAGCGTTGAACAGGGCTGAAAATGTATGATTTTCACATGAAAAAATAAAAAGAGGAGACCTTTCCTTGAAGAATATTATATTATATTATA